CGAAAACAGCCCCCCCCCCCCCCCCCCCCCCGGGACTTCATTAGTCTGTGATACGTCTGAACCTGTGATCCAACTCCCATTAAAGGAGTGGAAAGATCGAAAACCTTAATCTTGCTACCAACTGGGAAAATGGTTCATGGCAAGAATATACTGTTTTTCAGCCTGCGTCAGGACTTTTACAGTGTCTCTCTATTCAATGCGTTCCCTTTTCATTTCTGGAATCACCGGTGTGGGATATGGAGAACACACAGGCAGCATCTTTAACATGCTTTTGCATCCTCTCTCTGTTTGGCTTCAGATAGGCTTCACAAAGGCCAAATCAGAGAAGAGAAGCATTTGCTGCCCACTTAGTTATTTAATAATCCTTGTTCTCCTATTAAAAGAGTTCCACTCATCCAGCAGGACAGCGGGGGCTGACCTTTTTGCCAGCCATGCTATAAAACAGTCCCACACCCCCACCAGATGCCACTCTGATTCCCTTCCCCTGCCCCATCTGCTGCTCTGCTTTCTGCTCCCTCTCCTGTACTCCCTGCCTGATCTGCTGCTTTGCTTTCTGCTCTCTGCCCTATCTGCCACTGTGCTGCCTTTCTCCTCTTTGATCCGCCGTGTGCCGCACACTGAGGCTACCCATGCCACTCGTGGCACTCATGATGCAGGTTGGCTACCTGTGCAATAGAATAACAAAAAGAATACCATTTAACTTAGACAGCCACATATCATAAATAACCGATACCCAATACTGGTATTAGAATATTTTGTAAATAACTCATAAATTGAAAATCGTTGTGCATGGAGCAACCAGAAACAGTGAATACTTCGATCATGATCTCTGTCTGTTTGCAAAAGCTCTGTGGTCTAAGCACTAAACTCATCAAGCTCTAGCTAGGCAAAATCATTGTTCCCTGCCATGGCTCATGACGGTAATGCTGGCAGTAGCTATGTTGGGAATGGTATAGATTACTTCTTTGTTACTTAATCTGTAATACAGCAATTCCCACTGAGTGCAGTGACATTTGCTGGGAAAATATAAAAAAGAGATAATCAGCTCCAAGCTGTCCTGATGCAGCACCACTGAGCCTGCAAGCGGCTCATTTTTTAAATACTGACATTTCTTCATTTGTGCCTTACAGTATTCCTTATGGGAAGACATTTTTCCTCTATGTCTTCTAAGGGTCACAGAAGTGGATGCGTTCCCTGTCTACTATTCATTAACAGCTGTTGAGCTTTGTGATTATAGTTCATTTTCTTAACCTGTCTTTACAGAGAGTAACTAAACCTTCCCGGTTCTGCATTGGCTGCTCCATAGGGCATCTTTTCTTAATAGCCTTTTTCTTGAGGATGTACAATGAAGACATACAACTAGCATGGGGCTCAGGAACCCTAGGAAGTGGTGGTGTCCCTCTCATGAAACGTTTCAAAGAAAAGTCACATGCCGGTCTCCAGAGTAGACTGAGAACTTGCTTGCAAAATGAACAGGGGAGGAAGTAATTTTTAACCTCTCAATTTCTCTGAAATGGAGTGAGCAATATTTGCTTCAGGTCTTATCAATGCCACTTCATAATGAGCCACTGAATTTGCTGCTGAGCAATATAATTACCTCTCCCCCCAACCTTCCTCCCACACGTGAGTACACGCTACCTCAGCTAGTACCAGGATAGATCTTTCCATGTGTGTGCTGAATCTGCTTTTGTAATGAGGCTGGAGAAAGGAAAATGTAAACTATGTCTTCCTTGCTGTCATCTGTTTCTGCCAAATGCAGAGTTTAGGTCTTCGTGGTCAGAAAAGTCCTGCGTGCTCACAGCCTGCTGCCACAGAATGACTACAAAAGGCTCAGTAAGGAAAGCAAGCGCAAAGCCAGTACGTGATTTCAAGGACTTTCAACCAATGGCAATGCAAACATTTTATGATTTTTGGACAAAGTTCATTCAGGCTCCATTCAGGAACAGTAGGTTCCCCAAGGGGCCACCTGAGGCAATCTAGACATCAATTTTTCTCCACGCAGCTTGTGCTTTTCGTTTTTCTTTTTTTTTTATTGCAAAAACATTGTCCATATCCGCTCGTGGAAAACACTGCATTTCGCTGAGAGAGCAAACACAATGCAAACATGTGATTACATTTCAGTACATTTCTGGGCCTTGTCAACTTGAGAAGATTTGGATGTTCTAAAAAAGCAGCACGGAGCATGTTACGCACTGTTGGGTCCCTCATCTAAATACTTTTCTAGATGTGATAGAAATGCCAACACTGGATGAACACAGAGAGAATATGTTATGATGACAAGTCAAAAGACAATGGGATTTATCTTCCTAAAATAGGGGGAGCCAGGTGGGTCCATCATTCATGAGTGACATGAAGTAAAGGAGTGGGTAATGAAGCTAGTTTATGTGATGCATTATCTCTCAAATTATCGCCACTTGGTTGCATCTAAGTGCAGGAATCTTTCTGCACATTACAGCTTGTAATTTAGCAAAGGACCTTGATGCCAGATAACACTGATATACACAACTGTGTTCGTGCAAGGTAAAAAGTGCACACACATTTTGCAAGCATCCTGTGCGTGCTTTCTGAAGTCGTGACCATATTGATACAAGTTCCAGTGATTTCCAATAAATCCCACAAGTTATCCCATAGAAGTTATTGTGAGAGAGGCTATCTTGACCCTTCAGAGCTAGCAAGAGTCACGGGAGCCAAGAATACATTTAATAGTTAGGGCCTTGATTTAGCTGCACTTTGAAGACCTTAGAGAGCAGTGATCTTGTAAGTTGGGAAGCATCTGGAGCGGTCAGTGCTTGTATAGGAGCCAGTGATCTGGCATGGTTTTCTTGGCTGCTTAGTGAAATGTAAAATGGAGGCATTACGCACTTTCAGTAACTTAATAAACTGCATCAATTTTCACAAGAATGGAAATGTTTTCTTTCAGTATCTTGTGTCTATTTAAGTTGATGGAACCATATTAATAGCAGGCTCTGGTATTTCTCCTAATCACAGTCTTTTGTGTAGTGTTGTTGTGCATTAGGAGGCAGCAGTGATATTCTACTTCTTTGAGAGGTGGCAATATCTATGCACAATATATAGGCAGAACAGTGTTCTGCGATCTCCCAAGACAAAATGGAAGACGACTGTTATCTCATAGTTATAATCAAACCAAAGGAGGTTTGAGAAAAGTTGCCCATAATTATTGCAGAAAAATGAGGATTTGAGAGACAGAACCTCTCACTCGAATATGTTAGCAAAAATGACAGCACAATTCATGTGTTTAATGTTTCCAAATATATCTCTGGCAAAGCAATGGCTGACCTAGTAAAAACATACCTGCCAAGGCATGAATGGTGTAAATAAGGACACTGGCAAGAAAAATAGGGCCAGCTTGTAAATGCTGGACTGGAATAGATTGGATTAGGACATTTTTTTTAAAGATACAGAATGCAAAATGATAAATGTTTGGCTTAATGAGAGAGGGACTTCATATAGGAAATAGAAGGAGCTAGTATGTGTGGTTTAAAATTATTTATCACTGGCAGGGAATTCATATGAGTGCGGTGAG